AATATTTCATATACAGTAAACGCTACATAGCAAAAACCTTTAAATTGTTTTAGGCTTATACATATATATATATATTATGAAATAATAATTGAGTAATATAAAATTAGATGTTAACTTTCACTGTAATTTCTAGAACCCAGCTTAATTTAGAAATAACTGTAAGTTGACAACATTAACTACAAATGTTATGCAATAAAATAAATTTATCATATTTTATGTCATATTCTGTGTATTAACTGTTTCTATGGATATATCATTAGTACTGTACTATAATCATAAATATACTTTAATAATAGCCTGGTTAGTAAATAAAGCATGTCTAATTTATTAACTTTAACTGATGGTACGATATATTTTTAACTATTTATTTAGCAATCTATAAAATAATTTCTGTTTACTTAAGAATAGTTTAATTTGTTTTTGAACAAAAACTTATCATTAATTTTTCATTAACTTATTATTACTTTATGTCACGATAGTTTATTAATAGTAACATAGTATTATAGTTTTTATACTTTTTTATACTAAAACAAAATAATGATTAAAACGTATAAGTTAAAATAATAATATCTAGCGGTCATATAATATCTAGGTAATTTATGCTCGTAAAACTAAATAAACTCATCGCTTTATTTAATATACAATTTCAATTTCAAACAGTAACACGTATTTTAAATATTTAAAAATATTGTAATCATTAAATAATTAATATTTGTTGCTAATAAAATAAATATACGCAAAATATTTTTAAATACTTTTGGGTCACTGTATTTATTATACAAAATTGTTAAATCATAATTGTTATAATATAATATTCAAAGTTTAAATATGTTTAATAAAATAAAAATAAATCCATTAGTCCAGTTAATTAATTGCAAATACATGACATAATTTTATGTGTTGCAATTGTCCATGTTACACTCACAGCATACGCACATACATCTCATAGGACTACGTAATGCACGTGCTATGGGCATAATAGGTGAGCCAGGATTACCATTAATACCACCACCACCACCACCACCACCACCACCATGACCACGGTCATGTTCAGCCGGGTTACGTTTATGCCGTATTGGCTTATCATGGTCTCTTTGAGACTCCACCACGCTAATTACTAGCATCACCAATAAACCAAACATAACGAGGGTCATGTTACGTGATAATTTAATTTTGAAATTAAGCTGCAAGGCAAAATAATAAGTTACTATTAAAACTTTTTATTACTATTAATGTAATAAATATTTAGTATTTAATAGTATGTTAATATTATGTATTAATCACAAAAGTCCTTCAGTTTACAAACTTTTGGGGTATTTATATAAAAATCAAAAATTTTAAAAAGTACTCGCATTTTAATAATGGATTTCTAATGAATTATGGTAAATAAAATTATTTGATTAATTATTGTGCCTGGCAACTTTCGCAATAAGTTACATAAGATTTAATACTGAGATAATTTCAACAAAAAAGTTAACTATTGTACATTATATTTGTTGATATTGAAAATTTAATTTTCCCGTTACTGTATAAAAATTATTCAAAACTTTTTTTGTTGTTGTTGTTTCGTACCTTGAAAAATGTTTACGAAAATACATTAATAAATTTATAGATTGTTTTATATGATTAAACTTCCCTAATAGTAGGGTTTATTAAGTTTGTATTAAATCTATTACATTACCGCTGAATACATAAGATTAAAATAAACTTAATTTTGATTATAACTAAACAATTACATAACTGTTATTAATTATGTTTTGTATGTACTGTATTATAAATATCAGATAGTATCAATGTGCGTCAAAATAATAATTCAGTGAATTTTTATTTTAAAAATAATAATGGATATTATTGATAATGTTCAATTTAATAATAGTAGTCCTATGGGTGAATATGCGGTGATAGTGAACAATATTTATTTTGGGTACCGGGAGCCCCACAAAGTGTTAAACGATTTTTCGGTACAAATAGCTAAAGGTATAAAACATTATAATAAGTTTGAATTAAATAATAAATACTGATATATAAATTATAAATATAGTTCTAATTAGACAATAATTGATTTATTTGAATGTGACAAGGTCAAATATTTGCACTGTTAGGCTCAAACGGGTCGGGAAAGACTACTTTATTAAAACTAATTTGCGGTAGACTTGGCCCACATTCGGGACATATTTATGTTTATGGCTGTCGGCCCGGTAGTAAAAAGTCTGAGATACCGGGGTCCGCTGTTGGGTATATGCCTCAAGAGTTGGCGCTATACGACAACTTCACGATACAACAGACCCTCACATACTATGCCATGATATACGGTATGAGTGGACAGGCGTTAAGCGCTCGTACGGTTGAGTTGTCTCTTATGTTGCGATTACCGGAATTGGATAAACGGGTCGACCGTTTAAGTGGAGGGCAACGGCGTCTGGTCTCACTGTCCGCAGCACTCATTTATTCGCCCAAACTTTTAATACTGGATGAGCCGACGGTAGGGGTCGACCCCCTTCTCAGGCACCAGATATGGATGTATTTGCAGCAACTGTGCCGCGAAAATGGTTGTCCGCTTATGCTCTCTCTCTCTCTCTCTCTCTCTCTTTTCTCAATGTTTTCTTTGAATCATAGCCACAACAGTCATAATAAGCACGCATTATATGGAAGAAGCGAAAAACGCCGGCGCCGTCTGTTTCATACGTAACGGTCGACGTGTGGCCTATGGGTCGCCCGAAAAGCTACTGGCTCTCCACCTGTGCCACACGCTGGAGGAGGTCTACTATAACTCATGCATACAGTCTAAACCAGACAATAGTGTCTTTCCCAATGAATTCGTAATTAATAATCATAAAGCTAAGGACCAAGTGCTGGATGGGAAAGGCGTGTTTGCGTGGAACCATATGAAAGCACTGGTATTTCGGGACATTATTGACATCCGTACTAAAGCACTGGGAGTTTTACTTTACTTTCTGGTGCCAGTGATTACCATATTTTTAATACATATGACATTCCAAGAGCCCCGTAACATAGCTATTGCTATAGTAAATGGCGACTCCCAGAGCGCATCCCTGTCCACACAATTCATCGATCAACTGGACAGTCAGTTATTTGTCAAAACGTATTACGAAGCAAACGGTACGGCATATGAGTCAGTAGTCTCGGGTCAAAACGTATTGTCGATTGTATTGGACCAGGATTTCGACGATAGTATCCGACAATTAATGGTACGCCCGCTATGGGTGACCGATAACCAGGTGATGGATAGTGCCACGATCAAATTATATATCGAGATGACTAATCCGATAGTCACCCAGTTCGCCATTTACTACTTGATACGAGCGTATCAAACATTTGCAATGAACTATAGCTCCTTCATAGGACATAACCCGGGCGCCTACAGCTCACCAATCAATGTCATTGATGACAAAGCACTGCCAGTGTTAGACCCTAACACCATATTTTCAGGGTAAATTAGCTCAAGCTAGTTATTCTAGTTATTATTTAGATATCTCTACTATTAACGTTTTAGCCAGCTAAAAAATTATTTAATATTATTGCTAATTAATTAATATTAAAAAAATAATTACCGTGTAAGGCATTTTTAAAAATATATTTTAAACAGATACATATTACCAGGCACAATTTTAATCATGAACCAAGTGACCACCATGATATTCACCATGGCCTTTGTGTTCAGTTTCTATTACGAGAGACTGTACGGCACTTTTGACCGCAATTTTGTGGCCGGGGTTACGCCACTGGCAATACTAACCACACGCTCGGCGGTGGGAATGGTCTATATTGTGATACAGGCGCTGTTTATGGCCGGCGCTACGTTTTATGTATTTGGCTACCCCTGTGACGGCCGGCTATTTGACTGCGTTTTGCTAATTGTATTAAATGGCGTGCAATACATGTGTTTCGGTACTACCATTGCCATAATACTTAACTCGAGATCTGCGTGTGTGGTATGTATACTAAATCACCATGGCGCATTAATATTTTTTCTTTGTTTACTACTCTATTAGACTTTTAAATGCAAACTATTTTGTTTATTTTGCAATATACATTTATTGTATTAACCCTATTACTTTTAATGTTGTACATTGATACATTAATTGTTAATTTTAGTGTAAATTGTATCTTTTTATACGCAGACAATCATATTTGGCTTATCAATCGCACAGTTACTTTGCTCCGGTATGTTATGGCCACTAGAGTCGTTGCCACCCCTAATGCAATGGGGATTACAGTTTATACCGATTACCTCGGCCACCACTACCATGAATTTAATTTTAGCCAAAGGTTACTCATTGTTTCATAGTTGGCAAACATTTTTTGCCCCTCTCATATTAGTAGTTTACACCATACTTTTTATAATTTATAATTCTGTATTAATTAATAAAATCTAATAAAATTTTATTATAATATTGTCGAGTTACTTTTAGCAATAAATTAATAAGCATAGATTTGCTAAAAAGTATTATTTATTAATACTGTAGCTATAATGTGTAAAAAATAATGCAAATATACAAACAATATATAAACAGTATATTTATATTTAATCAACGTGTTTTGATTATAATAAAGATTATTATTATTATTATTATTAATGAAAGTGATATAAAGGTTAAATAAACATGTTTATAATTAAAAATAGTTTATTAACAAAATTTAAAAAACACATAATGTTTATTATTTATAATAAATTATTTATAAAATAAAAATTGAATATACCTAATATAAAATGTTATAAATGAATGAAAATATAACTAATGAATCCACAGAAATTAAGCTTATCTTATAATGCTTTTAATATTTTGTTGCTTACGACTAAATATTAAAATCTTTACTGTATAAAGTCTATGAGTTTAAGTTAAAAAGATTTTAATATTTAGTCTCTATAAATCTATTCAAGTTTGAGATTTTGATCGATACGTGCAAAATGTATTCATTGTTTTAGTTTATTTGTTTCATAAGTATGTAAATATTTAAGAGATGAGATAAATGTTTATTCCAAAAAGTCTGATTTGGTTATATGCCTACACTTATTATTTTGGTTTGCACTTTATCAGGCAATATGCAAATGGCTACCTAATGTAGTGGCATTTATCGAGACGTTACCCCTAACCATTGGTTTCTATTGTTGCAACAATAGTACCTTGCTCAACTAATTATAATCTTAATATAAATAATCTAATCATTTATAATCAAGTTATACTCTATAAATAAGGGAATTTTGATAGTTTGCCCCATGTATAAAAACTATCTTGAACACTAATTTTATGTTGAATTTGTAATATAAATATATTTTAATATTGTAACCCAGAAAATAACCGTAATGTCCGTCCACTATCTACCGTTAAATAGCTTATAATAGCTAAATACAGATATAATCTATAATCAATAAAAAATTAATGTGAAATCAATACACGTGCAATATGATTAATTGTTATTTTAATGTATTTTAATATTTAAATAAAAATTGTGCAACATTATTTGAAAACACTATAATAAATCATTTTTGTCTAATGAATACATAAATAACTATAACTATAAATCTATTCAAGTTTGAGATTTTGATCGATACGTGCAAAATGTATTCATTGTTTTAGTTTATTTGTTTCATAAGTATGTAAATATTTAAGAGATGAGATAAATGTTTATTATGAGATATTTAAACAAATTATACTTAAAATATTTAGTAAAGGAATTTAAATATAAATGCAAACAAATACTTTTATTGTTATAAAATATATTAAAACAACTCTTAACATGATTAATACAATTATACGCAAATTTCTAAACATTAAGTCTATTGTATTGGATATCATTGATGATTACATAACGAGACACAAAGATCTCGCAAATGAAATGAGCAGGGTCGACAAATAC